CCCCCCCCCCCCCCCCCCCCGCCCAGTCATCTCATTTGCATAAACTCTGATGTGCTCAAAAAGAGGCACCTTATGAGTAAAAAAAGACACTCCTATGACTCAGGAAATTCAGAGGATTTAGGAGCTTTGTGCCAGAAACCAGGGACAAGGCCCAAATGCATTTCTTATTATACCACACATGGATTATTTACAGGCTCTCGATTCTGTTCCATTGGTCTATGCATCAGTTTGCATGTCAGTATCATACTGTTTTGATTACTATTGCTTTGTAATATAGTTTGAAATCAGGACTTGTGATTCTCCAGCTGTGTTCTTTTTTCTCAGGACTGCTGTGGCTACTTGGTGTCTTTTGTGGTTATGTAGGAATTTTTTCTTTCTACATTATGATAGAGAGCAGGAGAAGTAACATAGTTGTGGGGCAGAATAAAAAGTCTAGTCTTATTTGTCCCATGTGAATATAGACAGCTTCTAATCCTCTTTTTTATAGGTATTCAACGCATTGGGCATATCAATAGTCATTACCATGTACGAGTAGTTCTGTAAATCTGCTCTATTAAAGATATCATATCAGCAGAGCTGCTGTAGTTGGGACTAATTATTGATTTTCAGTAGTCCACGATCATTGGTAATGATCCATCCAGTTTTTGCAAGAAGTACGGTGGTGAATTAAACGGTTGTGTGCTGGGACCACAACCCTTGCATTCTTTAAGTTTTGAGGATGACATTAACCTTTCATTAGCCCCAAGATACAATATTATTATTAATTTTTTAATTTTCTGTCTTGGCTGAGCTTGGGAGCCTGTTTCAGGGGCTTCCACTTACCAACTACACAGCTTTTACTCCACAGGTCAAAGAACCATTGTGAAGTTTCTGCCAGCTATAAATATGTCCACTCCAAGTATATGTTTGGAAACCAGGAGAAAAACCCCTAAGTGGATGTGTGGACATAGAGAACCCACCAGGATTTGGACGGACCTGAGATAGGACTCATTATTTCCTGTTCCCCATATGCCTCTCCTCTAATAGGGGTTCATGATGGTGTTTTGATGCCCCAGGTATCAATGTCAAATTGGACCCTGTAGCCTGTAGACCTAAAAGAATCTAGATAATCCCTTTTGTCAGTGTATGGCGACCTGAGTAAATGGCCATGTGTACCTTTATGGAAGAACTTGGGGAATCACTACTGTACACAGTTGCCATGGTGTTGCAGGGTTCTTCCTCAGGAGACCTAGGCTCTCCAACCAATGGGTTCTGGGTCTGAGGATTGGCTCAGGTCTGGAAACCGGGCAAGGGATTGTAACTTTCTATTGGGCCACTAATCTCAGCCTCCAAAGTATTCATTCCTAATCTGTTAACTATAATATTAAGCAATACTCTTGTTGGCTGTCCATGTAGAAATACTTTGGTCTACTAGCCATTTCCATAAATCCCTTGCAGTCAGAATTTCCTGGCTTCCATTCTGACATTACTGGCTATTTTGGCAATTCTGCCCTTGTTTCTACCTTTCTGCCACCTGTCCTCTGGCTTTCTGGGAACTTATTATGCCCATTGATGCTAGGGAGCCTGGTTCTGTAATATTACCTCCTGGAGTCAGCCCAGCCTACAAAGTACAGACACAGTGAGGTTGATGGTCTGCTCACCTGCTCGTTCCTCATCGCCTGATATGCAGAGTATCCTTTGGACCTTTCTAAGGAAAACAGTCACCTGGTGGGTTTTCCAGTTTCATAGAGTAGATTCATACCAGCATGCCCACTTCTCTGAGCCTTTTGATCTCTTTTTCTTCAATCTGCCAGGTCAGTTCTGGCATCACTACCTCATTTAATGTGGGCCATCATGTTTTGTTAGAACAGCTTTATTGGGATTTAGTTCATATATATAATTCAACCATATAAAAGAAGTGATTTTAGCATAGTCACAGGGTTGTGCAGCCGTCGCCACAGTTCATTGTGGAACAATTTCATGACCCCATACCTGTTCATTCCTGAGCAGTTGGTCCCCATCTCCCTCCACCACTCCCCTCACCCCAAGGCACACACTAATCTACTTTCTGCCCATAAGGACTTGCGTCTCACAGACATTTCACATAAATTAAATCAAACAATCCATTTGGTATTTTGTTTCTGTTTTCTTTCACAAAGCCTAATGTCTTCAAGGTTCATCTATGTGTAGCATGCATCGGGACTTCATTTCTTTTATTGTTGTCAGCACAGCAAACACACGAATTCTGGAAGGTTCTCAGTGCTTCCATTTGTTTTCTGTCTCAAACTTCAAACATCTTCTCCTTCATTGACCTATCAAGCACACTTGAAAAGAATACAAAAAAGAATTTCCTACCTGCATTCTTATTTTCAATAAGGAAGCAAGTCATTACTATTCAGCACAACATGAAGTTATGACAGAGATGGAGACGACCCAGCCTGGCCTCTGCTGGAACAGGAAAGTCAATCAGGGAAAGAACACAGGGCAGTATGGGGAGGAGTCCTGGTGGGCAGGGGGTCAGCCATCTCCCCACCTCCTCACATTATGCAAAATAGAACGCATTCAGATACCAGCTGCAGAAAGAGAAGTCAGGGGTTTCTGAAGTCACGGAGTGGAGGCATGAACAAATCTTGCATCACTCAGTCCCCCACAAGGCAGCTGTCTCACAGTGAGGAAGAAAATAATCATGAACAAATTCAGGTCAGTCACATAAGTGTTCACATTCTCAAAAGTCCACCAGATACTCAAAATGTCCCACTCAAAGAATCCCCAAACCCAGTCATGTCCCCTCTGACCCAACCCCTCCCCGACTTCAGGCCCTCCAGGGTCTCACCTTTAGGATGGATGAGAAACACATGAGAGCAAAGGGCACTGTCACAGCCTGGGGTAGGACAAAAAAGGACATGGTCAGAGCCCACAGAAGATGAGACTAAGGGAGGAACTATGGGGTGGGTGAGCTCGCCCCATGGGCTCCCATTCACATTATTCCAAGGGTCTCACGGATCAACCCCTCACTCAGACTTACTTGCAACATGAGCGTAGCTCCCTCCTTTTCCACCTGTGGGAAGATAACAGGGAAGTGACAGGGTCATGAGATACTACAGGAGCCCCCGAGTCCTAGAGCACAGAGAAGTTTCCAGAAATATGACTGAAGACCCAGGGCAGGATTGAGAAACATGAAGAAAGGAGATGTGTGGGCTAGACAATTGCTCTCCTGGAGCTCTGTCCTCAGCAGGGACCTTCCCCTCCGACCTTCGACTGCTGGGAATCAGGTCCCTAGCAACAGAATTATCAAGGTGAAAAACTCGTATTCCATTTTCATGTTTTTTACAAAAGAGTCTTCAAACAATCAGCTCCACAGTGGCAAGCACATGTGTGTGGATGGCACTTCCCATTAAAGAGGCAGGCAACCTTCTATCTGGGGCTTGAAACCCCCCTATGGGACAAGAAAACTGAGATCCCCACTCCCTTCCCTACCTGAGTGCTTCTTCCTCCAGATCACAGCTTCAGCCACCACAGCTCCAAGGAGACCCAGGCCAGCAATGATGCCCATGATGAGGATGGTGGACTGAGGAGGCGGCTCTGGGAAGGGAAGGGAAGGTGAGGGCCCTGACCCTGCTGAAGGTCTCCAGAAGGGCTCCTGATTTCCCTGAGAAGAGGCTCTGAGCCCACGGCTCCTTCCTCACCCCATCTCAGGATGACGGGCTCAGCCAGCCCCTCATGCTGCACATGGCACGTGTATCTCTGCTCCTCTCCAGAGGGCACCACCACAGCCGCCCACTTCTGGAAGGTCCCGTCCCCTGCAGGCCTGGTCTCCACAAGCTCCGTGTCCTGGGTCAGGTCCTCTTCATCTTGGTGCCAGGACAGGGTGATCTCCGCAGGGTAGAAGCCCAGGGCCCAGCACCTCAGGGTGACCTCATGGTTGGATATGGGGTGGTGGGTCACACATGTCTTTGGGGGGTCTGAGGAGTAAGAATCAGAAAATTCACTTTCAGTTACCTCCATGGGACGCTGAAGCAGCACTCATGTGACCATCCTGAGAACGGACAGGACAATTGGTTTGAAGGAGGAAGCACAGAACCCAGACACGAGCCTAGACTTGCGGATCCGGGATAATCTCATATTCCTTAGAAAGTTCTAGAATAAGGATGAGCGCGCAAGGTACGAGCCTTCAGGTCTCTAAACAGGAGAACACAGACCGCTGTTCCCGAGCTGGGTGGAGGGTGAATGAGTCAGAAAAACTGGAGTCAGACCTGCAAAGATGTTCTCAGGCCGAGAGAAAGAAAGTCATGATTCACAAGGTGCTGCCAGGGTCAAAGGGAACCAATGATGGGCGATTTCAGGGATGGTCTGCCCTCCTATTCCTGAAGAAACTGGATTCCTTCACTGTCCTGTAGAAAAGGGCGGGCCCTCTGGACGAGTCTTTAATGCAAAACGTGAAAACCTGGGTGGATTCCTTTCTTTCCTGAGGGAGGGTATTCTGACAGGGAGCCCATTTACCCTCTCTGTGGGAAGCCAGCCCGGCCCGAGGGGAGACCAGGAGTCCCCGCGGCCCCTCGCACCCGCGCGCTGCAGCATCTCCTTCCAGTTCTCCAGGTGTCTGAGGAGCCACTCCACGCACGTGCCCTCTAGGTAGTTCCTATCATGCTCCGCCTCACCGGCCACCTCCCACTTGCGCCTGGTGATCTGAGCCGCCGTGTCCGCCGCGGTCCAGGAGCGCAGGTCCTCGTTCAGGGCGATGTAATCGGCGCCGTCGTAGGCGTACTGACTGTACCCGCGGAGGAGGCGCCGGTCCGGCCCCATGTCGCAAACATGTGTCCACTGGAGGGTGTGAGACCCTAACCCCGCCCCGAGGTCAGCCCCGCCCCCGGCCCCGCCCCCTCCCCGCCCCCCCGCCAAGATTAAACCTAAACTGAAAATGGAACCGTGGAAAAGTCCCCGCCAGCTCTTCCCGGGTCGGGGGCGGGCGGGTCCCGCAGCCTTGGGGTGAATCTCGGACCCGGAGACTCGGGGAGACCCCGGCCGGTCCGTGGGGATGGGGGGTCGCGACCTGGACCCGGGCCCGCGTGGCTCACCGGCCTCGCTCTGGTTGTAGTAGCCGCGCAGGGTGTTCAGGTTCACTCGGAAATTCCGTGCGTGGCCCTTGGCGTCCCGCGTCTGCTGCTCCCAATACTCCGGCCCCTCCTGCTCCACCCACGGCGCCCGCGGCTCCATCCTCGGACTCGCGGCGTCGCTGTCGAACCGCACGAACTGCGTGTCGTCCACGTAGCCGACGGCGATGAAGCGGGGCTCCCCGTGGCCGGGCCGGGACACGGCGGTGTAGAAATACCTCAGGGAGTGGGAGCCTGGGGGGTGGGGTGGGGCTGAGTCCCTGGGGGCCGACGGATAATGGCGGGGACTTGGGGTGGGAGGAAGAGGGGGCAGGAAAAGGGAGGGATTAGGATGGGGCGGGGCCAAGGTGGGGCGGAGTGGGCGGGTCTGGGGGGTGGGTCCGGGGAGACTCGCCTTCCCGAGGGTCCAGCGTCCCGGCCGAGCGGTCCCCTCGCTCCGCCCCCCGCAGAGGCCGTTTCCTCCCGACCCCGCACTCACCCGCCCAGGTCTCGGTCAGGGTCAGGGCTCCCGAGAGCAGCAGGAGGAAGGTTGGGGGCATCATGACCCGCATCCTCGCGGTCTGGGGAGAATCTGAGCCCCGGCTGCTCAGTGCGTACTTTATAACCCGGAGCAGCGGAGACGCTGATTGGCTTCTGTAGAAACCGGACACGCAACGGGAATGAGAACTGGCGCCGCGTCATGAGTCTCCAGGCAGTAGGAGCTGACACGGGTTGTGAGAGGAAGAGGTGAAACTCAGGGAGACAGGGACTCCCCAACACTGAGCTTCCCCGCCCCAGACTCTGCCCTCGGGCCTGAGACCCAGAAAGCCATGCTCTCTGTAACTGAACAGTTGTCAAACATTTTGGTTCAAGATATCTATATAGTCTTACAAATTATTGAGGACCCCAAGGATAATTTTTCGTATGTGGGTTATATCTGTCAATATTTACCCTACTCAGAATAAAACAGTTTAAAAATTTTTTTTATTCCTTTAGAATAATATTGCTCATCTATTACACATTAACAAAGAATATGTTTCCATGAGAAATCTCTTTCCAAAAATAAACAGGGTAGTGAGAAGAGTGGATCTTTTTACATTGTACATTTTTGCAAGTCTTTCTTGTCTGATTAGAAAACTGTTGGATTTTTATATTTGCTTCTGCATTTAATGTGATTTTGGTTGAGGTAGATGGAAAAATACACAGCCTTACACAAATCTATAGGAGTAGTATTTTTTTCTGCTTTTTTCTCCCCAAATCCCCCCCAGCACATAGTTGTGTATTTTTGGTTGCATGTCCTTCTAGTTGTGGGATGTGGGACGCCACCTCAACGTGGCCTGACGAGCGGTGCCATGTCCGCGCCCAGGATCTGAACTCTGGGCCACCGCAGCGGAGCGCAGGAACTTAACCGCTTGGCCATGGAGCCAGCCCCGTATATAGAACTCTTAAAACTCAACAGTAAGAAAACAAATAGCTGAATTAAAATATGAGCTAAAGACTGAACACACACCTCACCAAAGCAGATATAGACGGCTAATAAGCATTTGAAAAGATGTTCAACATCAGATGTCTTTGGGGAAATGGCAATGAAAACAATAGTGATGTACCATTACACACCTATTAGAATGTCCTAAATCCAAAAGCTGGTGATGCCAAGTGCTGCCTGTGACGTGGAGCAGCAGGATCCCTCATTTATTGTGGGCAGGAATACAGAATAGCACAGCTGTTATGGAAGATATTCAGCAGTTTCTTATAAAACCAAACATAGATTTACCATACAACCTACTGATCACTCTCCTAGGTTTTTACCCAACTCATTTGAAAACTTACATTTGCCCAAAAACCTGCATGCAAATATTTATAGCAGAACACCCCTTAAGTGTGGGCTGCACGCAGTGACTTCCTTCCCAAGACTGCTGTGTGGAGAGGGACACAGAAAATGGGAACTTCACAGGGAGAAAGCTGGGAATCACGACCTCAGCCAGGTGGTGAAGGTTAGCATCATCAGTGATCAATCGAGTGGGTATTATATACCCTTGATATGCTGTGTTGAGAATGGCACTTCACCCCTGTGGGCTTGTTCCCAAAAACCCCAGAGCCCGGGTCAACCAAACTCAAATTGAGAGACAGTCTACAATATAGCTGAGCAGTACTCCTCAAAAATGTCAAGGTCATCAAAAACAAGGAAATTCTGAGAAACTGACACAGCCACAGGAAGCTGAAGGAGACGTGTTTGGGACGTAACTATGTGGTATCTTTGATGGGATCCTGGAAGAGAAAAAATTAAAACTAATGAAATCCAAATAGAGTATGGAGTTTAGTGATAATGTAAAAATACTGCTTCATTAGCTGTGACAAATGTATGGTGGTGATATAAGATGTTAATATCAGGGGTAATTGAGTTTGGGATATACAGGAACTCTGTAGTAACTGCAACTTTTCTGTGAATATCAAAATATTCTAAAATTAAAGTGTTTGTTTATAAAAACAGCCCTCAGAAAAGCAAGAGAATGTCAAAGAAAAAATTGCTTTTCACTTGTTGTCATCAAGGAGCAGCAGAGAGGGGTTGTAGTAGGAAAAATGGAAACCTCAGATGCAGGGCAGGGCTCCAGAGCTCTCCTCTCCTCCAATCCCTGCTCCACCCCCGAGCCTGAGCCCAGGGTTGCTCAGAAGGCATCTTCATCCCCCATTGATGTCCAGCCTCCAGGTCAGCCACCTCTGCCTGACTCAGACCACAGCCCATCCTCTACCTTTGCTGTGCAAATAGGAGAGAGCAGAGAGGTGGAGGTCCAGTGTGACCAAAGGGCTGAGGACAGAAGACCAGAGCTCCCCTTTAGTCTCCTCACCTGGGGCCTCCCCAGTGTCTCCCTGGGCTCCAAGCAGCAGGACAGGGCTGTGCACACAAGGAGGAGACCGCATCCAGTGTCAGTTTTGGAGTCTGAGTTGTTTCCCAAAATACATGCAGATAGAGGTTTTCCTCCCCATTGCATGACCATGGACTTTGGCCTCAGGGAGGAACAGACTTCCAACCCATAATAGTTGGTTCCCAGGTCGGAGGTGGACCCCACAAACATACTAGGTGCCCTCAGTCTCCTGGGATGTACCTTGAACCCTAGAGTTCCTTTCACTTGTACCTGCTGCTGCTTCCAGGGATGAAGCCTCACCCTCTAGGGAGTCAATTCTGGATTCTCCATCCCTAGGGTGGGGTGGAAGAGGGGGAGGAGGAGGGAGAGATCCCAGAGCAATGGCATAGGAAGATGTGGAAGCTCCTGGAGGAGTGATGAGATGGAGGGACGTTAAGAAGATGAAAACCAAGAGGAGCGAAGGGGGAGGAACCAGAGAGGAGAGGGGCAGGGGCAGGAGTCACATTAGTGGACAGCTGTGGGGGGAGGGATGGGTTCTGTGTGGACAGAGGCACAGGGGCTCCTTGCTGGGGCACTGAGGGCTCTGTTTTCACCTGGATGGTAATTACACAGGCGGTAGCTCTATAAGTGGCTGGTGAACTATACCTGAGTTTAGGCATTTTTCTTTACTTACAGGTGTGGTATAACAAAGATATGGAAGAAAGGGATAAGAAGAGGGGAGGGGAAGTGATTAAGGGGCTTCCTCTCTTCCAGAACAAGACCCTCCCCTCCACTCCTGACCCCCTTATGATGGGACGACAGGGAGAATCAAGGAGCTGAGAGGAGAGGAGAGGAGAGCTAGGCCTGTGCCTCCCTGGAGGGGACAGCCCTGGCCCTGATTCCAGGGTTTCCAGAGTCCCACCCCCTGCATGATGACTTCACAGCCATGTCTAAGGCCATCCCCCTTTCACAGTCATCAGCTACCTGGACATTTTCTCTTCATTCGGTAGGACAGCAGGAGCCACTTCTCCCAGAAGGTAGGCCACAGGGCTGTTGCCAGGGAGCTGTCCAGCTGCTGAAGGCCAGGGGGACGTCCCTGGAATGTGGAAAGCAGGACATGGGGTGAAGCCTGGAGACAACAGTGGGCTACGAGGAGATCAGTGATGAGTTTGGGTCCAGACTTCTGCCTAACATTTCCCTCGGAACCTGAATGGACCCCTGCTCCCCTCCCCAGGCCTCCAGAATCCACTTGTCCAAACGCCATACCCAAGGACGCAAAGGTTGGACCATTTTGTTCAGGTGTCATAACATTCACTGACTTACAGCCTGGAGGGAAGCCCTATGCTCCTCCCCATCCCCTAGAGCCCAGGACCCAGCATCCTGCCTCTACTTCCCCTTCCTGGACCAAAGCAAACGTGGACCTGCTGTATAGATCTCTCATACCTCCCTCCCTGTAACCTCCAAACCCAAAAATTGAAAAGTTCTTGGGGTGCTGGATCCAAAACTAATTTCTCTTTTTGTAGAGTTTTTTTTTTTTTGAAGATTAGCCTTGAGCTAACTACCACCAATCCTCCACTTTTTGCTGAGGGAGACTGGCCCTGAGCTAACATCCATGCCCATCTTCCTCTACTTTATATGTGGGACGCCTACCACAGCATGGTGTTTGCCAAGAGTGCCATGTCCACACCGGGATCCGAACCGGCGAACCTCAGGCCACAGAGAAGCGGAACGTGGGAACTTAACTGCTGTGCCAATGGGCTAGCCCCCAAAACTAATTTCTGAGCCTGCTGAATGACCTAGGGGTTAGGGAGTCACAGGTAAGGGGAGGACTCCCCTGGGCCCTCCAGGCTGCAGCTGATCCACTCCTTCCTGCTGGGCAGAATCCGTGGATTCTGGACACAGGACTAAGACTGGGAGGATTGCACTGCCTAAAACTGCCGACCTGGCCAGGGTGCCCCTCTGAATGCAAGGGTCTGTGGAGGCAGCTGGTGGTTTGGCTTAGTCCTTGGCCATGTGCTTTGGCTGCATGGGAACTGCAGAGGGGCACTGTGTGGCCTTCTGTCTGCTTGGCTCTGGCCTGGGATAAGCCAGTGAGCAGCTCCTCCCCTAATTTCTTCCCAGGGAACCGCTCACCTCTCCTGTGTCAGTCTCAGCTTCGAGGAGATCTCGTCCCTACACTTCTTCATTCATGAACAAATACTTATTGAGCATCTGCTCTGTGCCAGCCACTACTCTAGGTCCTCTGGGATGTATCAAACCAACTCAGGCAAAACCCTGCCCTCATGGAGCTTACATGTGGAGAAGAACAAGGGTAGGGAAGATGAGGGAACTAGTTGTAATTTTAAATATTATCCTCAGGGGAGGCTTTCCTGAGAGGCGACATTTGAGCTAAGTCCTGAAGGAGGTGAGGGAGTGAGCCCTGTGGTTATAGGGAGGAAGAGTGCTCTAGATCACCCTCTGCACAGACCTGGGGCTCTATTGGGGAAGCACTGAGGCTCCAGCAGGAATGGGAGTGGGCAGACTTCAGGAAGGACTTCCTGCAGGGGAATTGTGGGGATCTGGGTTTATATATCTCATGACTGGCTCCCCATTCGTGAGATTCATGGAATCCTGGAGATTGGAGGAGGATGAAGGGCTCCTGGGTGGAGTAAAGCTGGGAGAGGAGGGAGGAAGCTGAGGTGGGGTCCTACGCCAGCTCTGTCTCTGTGCTCACTCTCTCCTGCATCGAGTTTGAGGCGTAAGTGATTTTGATGTGGTCAGCAAATCCTAGGATAGCTGGATCTGGATGAAAGTCACCACATGGCAGGACATAAAATTAAGGAATTTCTGACCCTTTGGCGGCTAAGAACAATAATTTCAAGAAAAGTAAGGAATGAGAAAAAGAATGTAAAATATCTCATCAATAATCTTTTTATTGCTTACATGCTGAAATTATAATATTTTTAATGTTCTGGGTTAAATAAAGTATTAAAATCATTTTCATCCATTACTTTTTACTTTTTTAAATGTGACTACTAAACACTTTAAAATTACTTCTGTGGCTCAAATTTGTGGTTCAAATTACACTTCTAGCACTGTTTTAGAAGCTTAATAATTTTAGATGTTATGTTTAGGTCTATGCTTCATTTCAAGTTAGTTTTGTGCATGCTGTTAGTATTTTTCCTTGTCTCTATTTGTTTTAACATCACTTTTGGAAAAGACTATCCTTTCCTTATTGAATTACCTTGACTCCTTTTCATGAGCATATATATGTGTTTCTATTTATTCACTCTTTGTTCTAGTCTATTCATGTACACTATTCTTATGTGAACATCACTTTGTTTTGATTACTGGAGCCTGTAGTAAGTCTGAAAATCAGGTCGTGTGCGTCCTCTTTTCTTCTTCTTTTCAAAAAATTATGATGACCATTCAAGTCCATTGTATTTGCATATGTTATAGATTCAACTTGACAATTTCTTTTAAAAAGACCTGGTAGGATTTTGATTGGCATTTAAAATTCAAGATTGAACTGCATTTAATCTATAGATCATTTTTGGGAGAATTAACACCTTAACATTATGGAATATTCCAATCCTTGAGTATGGTATTTCTCTCCATTTATTTAGTTTTTCTTTACTTTCTCTCAGTGGTGCTGTCTAGATTTCAGTGTACAAATCTTGCTCCCTTTCTTTAAATTGATACCTATGTTTTGTTTTGATGCTATTATAAATGGAATTTAAAATTTTTCATTTTCCTGATTTTACATTGCTGATACATAGGAATACAATTGATCTTATACCCTACTGTCTTGCTAAATTCACCTATTAGTTCTAGAAACTTTCTTTGCCTTCGAAATTTCTATGTACATGACGATGTCAGCTGAAACGTGTCTTTACTTCTTTATAATCTATATCTCTTTTTGTTTCATTTTATTTTTTGCCATTTTAACTTCAATGTCTAGCACAGTGGTTGGTATGATGTAGGTGATCAAGTGTTTACTGATCAGTTGAATAAATTGGACTCATGGCGACACTAGCCAAAATAGCTGACTCTAAAGATGTGATTGTACAAAAAGTCAAAATAGAGAAACTCAGAACTTAATTTTAGACTTAGAAAATTAACAACAAACAAAATAAAGTTAATCAAAGTAAATAAAAATGGAAAATGAAATTTGAAAACTGATATTGTGTAAAAAAAGAAATTCAACATCTGGTTTTTAGTAAAGTTTAATGAATTAGATACAGTGTCGATCACTTGGATCCACAAAAGTGAAACAAGAGACTTTCAGAAAATGAGAAATAAAAAAGGAGATATAACAGCAGATAGTGTGGAGATTTAAATATCATTGGCGAATAAAATGTATAACTTTGTGCTGTTAAATTTGAAAATCCCAATGAAAGAGAACCTTTTATGCTGAGAGGATATAAATTGCTAAACTTGTCTCAATAACAAATAAAAAATCTGAAAAGACAAATAATTATGAAAGAAGTTGTAAGTGTTTTCAAAGATGTTCTTCTTAAAAATGCTCTAAGTGACTCTCAAGCAAAGTGAAGATGTGAATGCAATTGATTTGGTCTTGGTCTTTTTTTTTCTTAATTCCTCTTTATTGTTATGATTATTATATAAGTTACAGGTGTCCAACACCATAATTTGACATCTGTATACACTGTAAAGTGACCACCCCCAAAAGTCTAGTTACGATCCATCACCCTACAATTGATTCCCTTCACTCCTTTTGCCCAACCCCCAACACCCTTCCTCACTGGTAACCTCCGATCCGTTGTCTGTATCTATGAGTTTGTTTTTGTTTTGTTTTGTTTGTTTGTTTTGTGAGATTCCACATATGAGTTAAGTCGTATGGTATTTGTCTTTCTCCTTCTGACATTTCACTTAGCATAATACCCTCAAGGTCCATCTATGTTGTCACAAATGGCAAGATTTCATTCTTTTTTATGGCTGAGTAATATTCCATTGTGTCTATATATACCACACCTTCTTTATCTGTTCTTCCATTGATGGACACTTTGGTTATTTCCATATCTTGGATTTGTAAATAATGCCACAAAGTACACAGGGGTGCATATATTTTTCTGAATTAGTGTTTTTGTACTTTTTGGGTAAATACTCAGTAGAGGAATAGTGGGATTATATGGCAGTTCTATTCTTAACTTTTTGATGAATCTCGAAACTGTTTTCCAGAGTGGCTGCACCAATTTACCATACCACCAACTGCATACGAAGATTCCCTTTTCTCCACATTCTCTCCAACATTGTTATTTCTTTTCTTTTTGATAATAGCTATTCTAACAGGTGTGAGATGATATCTCATCATAGTTTTGATGTGCATTTTCCAAATAATGAGTAATAGTGAGCATCTTTTCAACTGCTTGTTGGCCATCTGTGTGTCTTCTTTGGAAAATTGTCTATTTAAATCCTCTGCCCAATTTTTAACTGGATTGTTTGGTTTCTTGTTGTTGAGTTGTATGAGTTCTTTCTATATTTTGGATATTAACCTTTTATTGGATATATGATTTGCAAATATCTTCTCCCATTGGGTAGGTTGTCTTTTTGTTTCAATGAAGGTTTCCTTTGTTGTGCAGAAGCTTTTTAGTTTGATGTAGTCCCATTTGTTTATTTTTGCTTTTGTTTCCCTTCCCTTTGGAGTCAGACCCAGCAAAACATCACAAAGACTGATACAAGGAGCTTACTGCCTATGTTTTCTTCTAGAAATTTTATGGTTTTAGGTCCTACTTTCGAGCCTAATCCATTTTGAGTTAATTTTTGTGTATGATGTAAAATAGTCTAGTTTCATTCTTTTGCATGTGGCTGTCCAGTTTTCCAAACACCACTTATTGAAGAGACTGTTCTTTCTCCAATGTATGTTGTGAATGAATTTTTGGGACACCTCTCCATGGTCTAACAGGCAAATCTAGCAAGCAAGCTGAATAGGCTTAAAGTCAGTACACAGTCCACACTGTGCTGTGCAGCAGCCATGCAGACCATTTTAAGCCTGTATTAGAAAGACTGTGCAACCGCACACCTCATGACCGAAGACGCCAGCTGGACAGATCCACAACAGAAAAGACAAAGAGTACCTTGCTCTCACATTTCCCAGCT